CAGAAGCGTCCAAGCCTCTTCTCCAAATCCCAACAAGGCCCGTCCCAAAGGTGCTCAGCCTGTACCCTGCTCCTCCTTCACTTTGACATCTGTTCAGATCCCTCCCTAAAATCAACCCCAATCCACATCCCACAGAACCCCCACGTGCTAGTTAAAGGTCTCCCCCTGTACCCTCCCTGGCCCCAGTTCCTCAGCTCCCCAATAACCCCCCCCCAACCCACAGCATTGTAGCTTCCACTCCCTGAAAGCCAAGGCTGCCCAATGCCCCCACCACCCCACCCCCTAGCCCCACCCCCAGGATTCTTGGTCTCCCTCCTGCTAACCGCTCAGTGTCACCTGACAGAGCCACGAGCTCTCCCCCAGCTCCCACTGCCCAGGCTCCTTCTCTCCAGGCAGGCTGCACTCTCACTCAATTTTCTTTTTCTTTCTTTCCAATAGGGTCTGTCTGCCTTTATATGAATAATGTCCCCATTGTGGGTCTTTCCCCTTGCATTCTACATTGGGGTTTGTTTTGTTTTGTTCTGGTTTATTTCACATCCGGTGTCCTCTGGGGTCTGTCCTGCAGTCATCAAATATACCTTTGAGAAGCTGAGAAAGGGTTAAGGACCTTCTTCCAGAGAAAGGTGTTCCCGGAATACATAAACCCAGGCACAACTGTGCACGGCAGGGCTGCATGGAACCCCTGGAGCCCAACCCCAGGCACTCGGCGCTCCCCGTGCTCCCCCATCCCCAGGCACTCGGCCCTCCCCGTGCTCCCCATCCCCAGGCACTCGGCCCTCCCCGTGCTCCCCATCCCCAGGCACTTGGTGCTCTCCGTGCTCCCCCATTCATCCCCAGGCACTCGGGGCTCCCCGTGCTCCCCATTCATTCCCAGGCACTCGGGGCTCTCCGTGCTCCCCCATTCATCCCCAGGCACTCGGGGCTCCCCGTGCTCCCCCATTCATTCCCAGGCACTCGGGGCTCCCCGTGCTCCCCCATTCATCCCCAGGCACTCGGGGCTCCCCGTGCTCCCCCATTCATTCCCAGGCACTCAGGGCTCCCCATGCTCCCCCATTCATTCCCAGGCACTCGGGGCTCTCCGTGCTCCCCCATCCCCAGGCACTCGGGGCTCCCTGTGCTCCCCCATCCCCAGGCACTCGGGGCTCCCCGTGCTCCCCCATCCCCAGGCACTCGGGGCACCCCGTGCTCCCCCATTCATTCCCAGGCACTTGGTGCTCCCCGTGCTCCCTCATCCCCAGGCACTCGGCCCTCCCCGTGCTCCCCCATCCCCAGGCACTCGGGGCTCCCCGTGCTCCCCCATTCATTCCCAGGCACTTGGTGCTCCCCATGCTCCCCCATCCCCAGGCACTCGGCCCTCCCCTTGCTCCCTCATTCATCCCCAGGCACTCAGCCCTCCCTCATTTGCTCCCAGGGCAATGTCTCCTCCCAGGGACACTCTGCTTCCTTTCCTTTCCCAGGCATAGAAGGTCCAAAGCTGAGGCACACAGACCTCAGTGGGGCCTGCCAAGAAGTCCTGCCCCGGAAGAGATTTTATACTAAGGAAATCCAGCATCAATTGGTTAGTTGCCCCGCAGCATAAAAGTCTGCCTCCTGCTGCCTTTGGATTTTATTATGCGAGGCACACGATGAATATTCATTAATAGACATGTCACTTCAGGGGTTGTTATGTGTCTTCCCCTTCCTCCCCCCAAACAGCAAAAGGAATAAGTTGACAATGACTTAGGATCCTTATGAACAATGCTACCAAACCAAAGAAAATTCATATTCTTAGAGAATGCTATTTTCATCGCTATGGTTACAAAACGCTGCCATTGTTGCTGCCATTGTTTCTGCCACGCCACCAGAGTTCAATGAGCACAGAGTCAAGAACAAAAGACTGAATTCTTCCCTCATTTGGGTGAGTCACACACAGTAAGGATCAGAACACTAGGGGACTCGGCCCCCGTAACATTACTGAGATACAATGAGAACAACAACAAAACACAGAAAATAAATCCCATAAAGATCTTGTGTAAACAGAAGTCTGATTTCCCATCTCTCCTGATTATCTCTGCACAAATCAGATTTGAGTGTGTTTTTCCCCCTTTTGTTTTGACTAGACAGTTTTCAAGGGGGTGGGGGAGAGGAAGAAGGAATGCCTTCTAATTACTGTATAGTGTAACCCTAGTTCTACTTCAAACCCACAAATAGTTTCAAAATTTATTCTGTGATAAAAACCCTCTCTACGTTTTTCTGGAACAGCTGCTTTCCTTAAACATTAGCTCAACTGTAATCTCACAAGGCAAACTACATTTGAAAAGCTAAAAGTAAAATCCTGTTTTCTTTATAATTCAAACAGATGTTTCATGTAATCAAACTAATCCAGTGTTTTAATTTCCTACACACACATTACACCGACTCTCAAATTTTGTCCTAAAACATTTTAAAATATCATTTGTACGCAAGCTAGGAGATAAGAGGATATCGCCATTAGGAATGTTTTAAAATACATTTTAACTCAGGCCACAAAGGCTTACTTTGGGCTACCTGGAAAGCCTGATCGTGAGGGACAATCAGTGGTTTAGATGTGCAACGATGATAGTGCTCTCAGCATCCAACCTCAACCCTAAATTAGAACTGACAACAGCAATATGTAATGAGAATTTACTAACAGCGCTGCTCAGGGCACTAAGAGAACACAGGATCTTTATTCATAATTACAAATTAAAATACTGAAAGTAGCTTAGTCAAAAGATAAAATGGAATTGAGTCCAGTGGCTAGTTCTGCTTATGTGATGGCTTCCTTTTTAATGCCAGGTTATCGTAAATGGCTTTGTTAGAGTAGCCAGCTAGAAAGATATGAGCTGGGGAAGGCAGTTAGGGTTAGGGAGTGGGGGCAGGCCAAAATGGAACAATGGAGGCAACAGACCCCCATGTGAGAAGATGTGGAGCCCCTCCAGAATGTCGTCTAACCAGTGGCATCACACGTGGATAAAGGAGACTTATAGCTTGAAGTTTGTCTGTTTGTTTGTTTGTGAAATAAAGGAGGGGAGGCTTACTTAGGGACACTCCAGCCTGGCACTTGGTTTGGTTTCGGCCAGCTGAGTTACTCACTCAGTCGTCTATATCTGAGTGTATTCCTTTCCTGCAATAAATTCTCACCTGCTTTTGCAGCTATTTGTTGTCTCTCGTTTGAATTCGTCCTACAAGAAGACAGGAACCAAGGATGCAGAGCACTGTCTGGAGCCAGAGGCAACCCTGACCACCACTGACACCCGGGCCAGGTGCTCTCTGAGACGCAAGCAGACGACCCATCAGTACAGCTCTCCCCACGCTGAGGCTTCTACATGAGCTTTCCATGAAAACACAGGGAAACTGAAAAGCTGCAATGGCTCAACGCTGACTCACTCCTAGAGTCACTGTCTGTGGGAAACCTACCGGTGATATTTACACAGAAACCGGAGAGCAGCAAGCCTAGGCAAGAGGTGGAAGAGGCTGCCCTCCACTCCCTGCAGGTGGTGCCTCCTCTGCCCCCCTCTCTCCGCAAAGTCACCCCACTCAGACTCGCTGCAGCCCAAAGCCGTGTGTCGGCTCCCCAGGCCAACCTATAAAGCAGCCTGAGGAAACAAATCTGAAAAAAAAAAAAGCAACCTCTTGAGAACTCTCCACCTCACTGATCTCTACGGTTCAAGGTCAGTGACAGACTCATCCCTTCCAACAACCTGAACTTGGCTAACCACACAGAGACCTCTACAAACCACTCTTTCCACCTCAGCAACCGTTCACCACCAGCCCCGTCACCGCTGTGGGAGAGCAACCGTGTGTGCATTTTACTGCATCTTGCTCGTTTTATAAAAATGAATAGAAAAATAAAAGTGCCAATGCTGGTAGCAGGCTCAGGACTCAAACTAAATATAACAAAGTGACTCAAACACCATCTAGACCAGCGTTTTTCAACCGCTGTTCCGCGGCACACTAGTGTGCCGCGAGATGTTGCCTGGTGTGCCGCAGGTGCAGACAAGACAAGAATTTTATAATTTTTCACTATTTTGTTGACTTAATATTTCATAATAAAGTAATTATAAAATACTTTCTTTGTGTTTATTTGATTCCTATTCAAGAGAATTACTTTATATATAGTCAATATAGGCACAGAGTTAAATTTTTTAACATTTTCTAATGGTGGTGTGCCTCGTGATTTTTTTCATGAAACAAGTGTGCCTTTGCCCAAAAAAGGTTGAAAAACACTGATCTATACATACTTTCTGTGTAAGGAACTATAAAGAAAAAGATCAAAGTTGAAATATATTGTTGATGATGACAAGAAAAAGGGGTGAAAGTATGCAACCACTATGCTGTATATACCTGAAACTAATGTAAAATAATATTTAATGTCAACTGTAACTGACAAAAGAGTCACCCTAATGTACACTATGGGCTTTAGGTAAGCATATATCAATATTGCTTTATCAGCTGTAACAAATGCACCACACTACAGCAGGAGGATAACAGGAAAACTGTGTGCTAGGGGGTAGGGAGAGGAGGTATATGGGGACTCAACTTCTATGCTCAATTTTTCTGTAAACCTAAAACTGCTATAAAAACAAAGTCTTAGTTTTTTTGTTTTGTTTTGTTTTGTTTTTTTTAATTAGGTATTTTCTTCATTATTTTTAGTCTTTTGGGAAATGAAACACACAAACCTATTAACACATAAGCCTGTAAACTGACTCTCACACATTAAGCTTTATATAACACCTATGGAGAAATTGGCCATGTTTGAAGGCAGAGGGACTATCGCACTGTAAGCCCAGAAAACATTAATGGTTGTAAAGGATTGCTTAGTGCATGTTGAAAACTCCTTGATCATCCCATAAAAATTCAGCAAAAACAGCAGGATTGAATATAGCATCCATAACATAATCCCAATTGTACAAAGTAAGATCATATGTATTAAATATAATTGCATTATAAAATATAAAACATGGTGCTCTCTAGATGACATGTGATTTTTTTTTCCCTACGTCCTTCACAAATACCCTAAATTGTTCAATAAAGCATCAGTCATGGAAAGAGAGAACTTTTTGTTGTGTCCACCCTGAATTCTTTCCAAGAGTGGAAGCAACACATAATATGCTGATGACCTAATATTTCCAATCACTATAAACAAAGAGCTATAGCGGGAAAGAGTTTGTAACCAAAAACCACTGGACAGGGGCTTCAAGGAGGCCCCAGTACATACTCTGAGAAGGAAAACCCCTGTTTTGTAAAAAACTGCTGTCTGGAATTTTCTGTTTTTCTTAGATGGCCTCTTCTCTTATTCTAAAAATGTTTGCTTTCTAGTCTGCTTTAGCCTGTTTGAATAATGATGAAGATAAACTTAGCTGTATGACCTTGTAGGCCAGAGACTAGATATGCCCATAATCTCAATGCCATGCCAGGTGCATTTTTTAATTGGATAGAACTGTATTGTTTTCAAGGTCAGTATCAAGATAACCAGTAAGTGCACATAGGGCTGGCACTTTAATAAAAAGGGAAGTTCTGCTTGTAGCCTCGCTTAGAATTTGAATTCACTTTCTGTAAGCCCATCGCGCGATGAATAAAGTGAGTCTCTCCAAACTCTCCTCCTGCATTGTTTGATTGTTCGGGAACTCTGTAACATGTCTAGGGGAGAGGAAACACATACATGCAATAAGTATGAAACGACTCCAGTGCTTCAGAGGACCAAGTAAGAAGTGGTGTGCACAGGTATAAGTGCAAGTTCCAAGAGAACTTTCAAAACAAAGGAAGGACCTCGCTGAGCAAATGCTTCTTGCAGTTGGCCTAGGAAGTACAGATTTGGGTGTTATAGAGAAGGAAAAGGAAAGATATTTCAGGAAGAGCCTTACTCTTGTGTGGTGTGTAATTTTTAATCTTTAAAGAATTCTCCGTGGATTCTGTGTGTGTGTGTGTGTGTGTGTGTGTGTGTGTGTGTGTCTATTTTAAGCTACATTTGAGAGGTGGACAGTTGCCTCGATGAGGAAAACCCATTCCAGCTAACATTTAACAGCGAGCCAGGCCACCCTCAAAGCCATCTCCTGCATGAGCTTCGGGTACATCGATCTTGAAAGGCCCCAGGGTCTGTTAGCCAGTGGAATCTGCGGGAACTCTTGGCACATAGCAACCCCGCCCAAACCCCTGCATGAAGAGACTAGATCAAACTTTAACGTGGCCTCTAGCAGCCTAAGGCTGCAGTCCTGGGATGACCTAGCCACCTTTTGCCTTTTGTGTTCTTGTCTGGAAAAGCTCAGAGCTGTCAAAAGAAATGAGCTGTTTGTTCTAGTCAACACGTAAGACAGGCCTCCCTTTCTTAAAGCATTTATTAAAAGGGGCTTACAACTGTGAATCCCTCCCTCGCTTAGGAGCTGGAGCTTCGGGTACATCGATCTTGAAAGGCCCTTCTGCTTTGCCACTGCCGGCCTGATCCTGGGCCCCTCACAGCTGCCGGCCTGATCCTGGGCCCCTCACAGCTGCTGGGGCTTTGTCCGTAAGGACCTCCAGATGGTCATCTGGAAGACATCCACCCTAATTAACATATTACCCTTTTATTCGTATAGATGAGAAATGGGCTTTCATTGGGGGAAATCTCAGTGATCAAGTAACATGATCCAACTGGAAATACCTTCGCCTGGGCATTCCTATTCTTACTGAACTGGCTATGAGGGCAGACTGAGTCTTCAGCCTGAGAATGGCACCACAGACTCGACCCATCCATTTGGCCCTGCTGATTGGCAGTCTCAGTCTCCCTACTAGACTGTGTCCCATCTGCCTCAGGTGAACAGGCAACTTGTGTCAGTGTACCAAGGAGAGGTCTCGGGTCAGGCTTCTGCCTGCCAGTTACGTCTGCATGTGTGGCAGAATTTGGTCTGAGACCTGCTTTCTTTAGAACTTGGAGCAGGTCATGAGAAAGAAGCTAAACTTCATCCACCCATAACTACTGGCAACACCAACATCTAACAAAACAGCCTAATCACTGTGTAAAACTGAGGTAGGTCCACTGTTAGTGACAATAAGCAAGTGATACTCATTATCATTTAAGTATACTGTAGTAAGAAAAATCAGGATAGTAGTCAAGTGCTCCAACTCTCAGGTGTACCAGTATTCAAGGCTTTGCTCCACCACTAAAAAGCAGTCAAGTTCATGTCTTTGTCTTGCTGCAAAGGGAGACATTTCCCATCCCTTAGGTGTGTTGTGAAGAATGAATGACACAATGTAGGTAAAAATAGACAGCACACTGCAGGAATGAAATAGACTTCAGCTATTGTTCTTATTACCATTACTATTTACATTTGCCTAGAGTGAACCCTGCCAAGCCTTATTCTTGAATTGCCTTGGAAGGCCTCTCTAGAATTTCTTAATTACACCTCTCACTTCCCCTCAGACGGTATGTACTGTCATTTTCTGGAGCTAGCTTCCCCCACACTGGCATCCCCCAATTAGCCCATAAGTTCCAAGAGAGCAAGCAAGGTCTCTGGTTCAACATCCAGTTCCCCGAGGCCTATCTGGGTGCTGGGTACGCAGAAGGTGCTGAGTGATCTCTCCTCTAATGTCTGCTTCCATTAGCATCCATTAACCAAAAGCCTAATCAGAACCCAAGTGTATAGCAAAGTCAGTGAAAAAATAAGATGAAAAATAAATAAGTAAATAAATAAAGCCAGGCTGGCATGGCTCAGTGGTTGAGCATCAACCTAGGAACCAGGAAGTCATGGTTCGATTCCTGCCAGGGCACATGCCCAGTTGTGGGCTTGATCCCCAGTGTGAAGCATGCAGGAGGCAGCTGATCAATGATTCTGTCTCATCATTGATGTTTCTTTTTTTTCTTTTTTTTTAATATATTTTATTGATTTTGTACAGAGAGGAAGGGAGAGAGATAGAGAGTCAGAAACATCGATGAGAGAGAGTCATCGATCAGCTGCCTCTTGCACACCCCCTACTGGGGATGTGCCCGCAACCAAGGTACATGCCCTTGACCAGAATCGAACCTGGGACCCTTCAGTCCCCAAGCCGACGCTCTATCCATTGAGCCAAACCGGTCTCGGCTCATCATTGATGTTTCTATCTCCCTCTTCCTCCCTTCCATCTCTGAAGTCAATAAAAATATGTTTTTAAATAGAATAAGGTGACCTGAAGACTAGACAGGTACAGGTGGATAATGGCCCGTAACAAACTAAGCTTTGGGGAGTTCCTTACTTGGTGCCAAACCTTGTACTAGAGACTGTTGTCACATGAAATCCTCATAACCCTAAGAAGTATTGTCACACCCATTCTACAGTTGAGGAAAACTGAGGTTAAAAGAGAAAAAGTAACAAGTGCGGTCACACCAGCCTCATTGTCCAGACTTCCCAAATCAAACCCAGACCTAAGTCCAAAGCCCAGGCTCTTTGGGTAACCCATTGTTCCTGATGGTCTTCAAAGTCCCCAAAACACCTATCTCCAAACTCAAATTTCTCACAACTTAAATATCTAACTGGTGACTTTTTAATTTTTTTTTGTGTGTGTGTGATGTTTGGGATATTTAGTTTTTTTAATGGGCATCTCAAATGTAGCAAAGCCCTGGCCAGTGTGGCTCAGTTGGTTGGAGCATCATCCCAAGGGCGGCAGGTTCGATTCCATTAAGGGTGTATCTAAGAGGCAACGGATTAATGTTTCTCTCTCTTTCCTTTCCTCTCTAAAAATCAAAACAAACAAACAAACAAACAAATAAAAATGTAGCAGAGCAAAAAAAACAACAAAACTGTAGGTTTTCCCTGCCAAATGTCCTCTTGCCTATCAGCCTCCTATTCATCTCAACAAATGACACCATCATCTACCCAATTACTCAGGCCAAAAACCGAATCTTTCATTCCCACACCCTGCACTCCCCACCACCTTGGGAAGATGGCTGAGGGCAGAGATAGTTATCTGGCTCACTGCCACACACCAGCTCCTGGCACCTCGCTGGAGCTGCCGTTTCGTGATATAAAAAGGCATATATATTTGGTCTTCATCCCCCATAGGGGAGGCCCAGCACTTGTGAATGGTAGCTGAAATGGGGGTATGGAAGGGTCCAGACCTGTGGAACTATGCCTTTAACCTGCGGAATACTAACTCCTAACTCCAGATGGTTAGTGTCAGAATTGAACTGAATTGTTGGACATCCAGTTGGTGTCCAGAAAGTTGAGTAATCGGTTGCCTGGGGTAAGTGGAGACCCTATTAATTTATTTATTCATTTATTTATGTAGGTAGGTAGGTAGATATTCATTTATCCATTCATTCATTTTTATTGGTTTTTAGAGAGGAAGGGAGAAAGAGAAAAAAGATTGATCAGTTGCTTCCCACGTGGGCCCAGAGTGAGAATGAAACCCACAACCTGAGTATGTGTCCTGATGGGGAATCAAACTGCCAACTTTTACTGTAAGGGGGAGGGGGGAGGGGGGAGGGGGAAAGGCACTCCAACCAACCCCATACAACTGATATCAGAAGTGCTGTGAATAAAAATAGTTCATAAGTGCTCAAACAAACAGCTAAGTTTCTGCTGGTCTCCGAGTTTTTTTTAAATGCAAGCTTATCAGTCACTCCATACGAATAAAGCCATAGTGTCATCACCCCTCAACCCTGGGACCCACCACAGCGATGTCGCAACAGTCTCTAAAAAGCAGAAGGTAACTTCTCCGTGATGAGCGGCCAGGATTGGGTTCTTTCCAAAGTCCTGACAGGGGGATTTTAGAAAAAAGTCATTACGTTCTGCCACAATATCAGATATACCAATAATTCTTTTACAGGACCCGCGTGAGAGCCGGCGGTAATTTTCAGAGCTCTCACTTAGCTACTTGGAGTGACAGAAAGGCTCACGGGGCTTCCAAAGAACTGGTGGAGATGCCCCAAAACATCTATAATGCAATTACTGTTAATGAAAAGTATTTCGTCAAATTGGAAAGTATCTCCAAACAACAGTTAAAGATTTGCAAAGCTTTCCTGAGAATCAGAACATTCAGAAAAGAGCTTTTTCGGGTCCACGTTAGTCTGGGAAGCATCCTCTCTCCCCTTGCCTAACCCAGGGCAAGCCCTTACACCTCCCATGTTCTCATCTCTGAAGGGCAGCTTGAATGCATGCCCAGTACAGTAGGAGATCTCAAAAATCAAGCCCTAACTCCAGTGGCCACCCCGAAGAGGTGGGGTTATCTGCAGATTACCTGCGGGTATAGTACAATCGGAAGCTTTCAGAAACCTGGAACAGTTTAACCTCTCCATCGCTTAGGAGCTGGCCTCAGCTGCCAAAAGCTGAATGTATGAGGAAGCAAGGACATCTCTGACCCTGAATGCTCCCCCAGAGTTAAGATTCTTTTGTGGAAACACACCATGCTGACAGTCAGCGTGGGCTGGGAGGAGGAAGATGGACACCGGGAAGGCTTTACCTATTTCGTGTGTGTTTTTTTTTTTCCTAAATGCAGGGACGAGCGAGAAATGAACATTAAAGCGTTAAACCTATCATTCCGCCGCGATGCACCCCTCCCCGGCAGGAGACGCCTATCCCAACGGGGCATACGTTTTAAGACACCGAGAGAGTTTAACACAGAGTTATAACACAGGCTCGGGCAAGTTCAGTTTCCACCCAGAATGGGGGCGGGCTCCGGTTCTGCCCAGGCAGCCGCGGTGTCGCCCCCTTCGGGTCGGTCAGGTCGGGAAGCGCAGGCGGCAGGGCTTCGCCTTCCCCGCTCCTAGACCTGGGGGCTGTGGTTCGGATCCCAGGCTTGGAGACGTTCCCGAAGGGACGGACCCCAAGCTCTGGCGGCCTTGCAGAATGCCAGGCGCAACCTGCAGGGGCCTTGGGAAGCACCCGAGTTTTGCTCAGAGCCTGGGAAAGGAGGTGCTGTCTCCGCCCCCCGTCTTTTGCTGGGTGAGCCCCGGAACTCGTTAGCGTCCTGGGAGGCGATGACACCCGCCGGGAGCCATAGGGACCTTCCCCCAGGTCCTGCCCACCGCGCCCCAGCGCAGTCCTGGAGGCCGGACCGGGTGACCTGGGGGGGGGGGGGGGTGGCGGGGAGACTCTCGGGCTTCCCCGCGTCCCAGTGTTCCTCCCCGCCCGCGCGACACGGGATTTTCCCCGCCTGCCCCGCGCCGCGCTCAGGCCCGAGGGTCTGCCCCGGGCGATCCACCTCCCGCACCGTGTTCCACCCCGGAGCCCGGGCGCACAGCCAGGGGATCTGCCCCACCGCGCGGTGCCTGCGCGCCCGGCCCCGCCGCGCGATCGGCCGCCCCCCGCACAGCACCCGCCCCGCTCACCTGGCCCGCACAGCACTGCGCCGACATCGCGGCGGCCGGCACCGCGGGCGCCCTCGCCTGCTCCCGGCTCCCCGCCGACAGTCCTCCCGAGCCGGCCTGGAGCGCCCCTCCGCGCACGGGCTCCAGCCTCCAGCGCAGGTGGCCTCCCCGCGCCGCGCGGCAGGTACTAGGGCCGGGGTGCACACTGCCCCGCCCCGCCCGCCAGGACCCGCCCCTCCGCCAGCCCCGCCCTCCGGGACCCGCCCCTTCCCGGGCGGCGGAGCAGGCTCGGCTCGGCGAGCACTTCCGCCGGCGGCAGCTGTCACTTCCCGGTGTGGCCTTGGGCTCCGGAGTCCGCCGGCGGAGCGGCGGGCCGGGCGGTATCCCCCTCGGCTCCCCGGCTCCCGGGGAAACGCTGGCCGCCGGCTCCGGTAACGCGAGGAGTCTTTGGTGCTGAGATTCCTGGGCGCCCCGAACTCCACCGACGCTATGTATCCACGGGATCCCTGTCCCTGAAATCCCTTTTCCTTCCTCGTCTGCCACCTTTTGGGAAAGTCGTCTCTGCCCAAGCTTCCTCGGACCCTGCGCCAGGCTGTTGTGCCCTGATTTCCAGGGCACATGGGAGATGCAGCCAGAGCCCTGTGCTCACATCACTCGGTGTTATCACATCACTCCCCTCTTACCCTCCTCCTGAGAGCGCATCCCCAGCCCAGGGACTCAGTTTGCATCCCTGCGTTCTCTCACCTGGCCTTGCTAAAAAGGGGTCCCCCAATAATTGCTTGTTGCGTTCAGAAAGCAGAGAGGGTTGCCCTTAGTTTTTCCCCCTACCCAAATATTCTCCTCACAGCCACTGATCCAAAGAAGGATATCTGTTAGGAAGAACTTTGCCCCAAGCCCTTTTTGTTACCCAATCCCTTGAGTTCACTGCTTGGGGTGTTCTATTCAAGAACCAGGCATGGTTGTGGCTAGGTAGTTTAAGGTACTTGCAGCAAGCAAAGGAGATAAGGAATTCACATCCAGAGCTCTGCTCTGTCTCCCCAAAGGGAGGCTTAGCCATTGCTTATATGCACTACTTGGTTAACTGCATGTTGATTTCTCCTTTGCAGTTAACTCGCTAAGTTGGGTCTCTGTCTAGCTCATCCTGTTACAGCTGCTTCCGCAAAATACTGTGATATATTTTAACATTTAACAAGTATTCATTAGGAACAGCCCAGACCCGTATCCTATCTTAACATTTTTAAATAGGCATTACTGTGCCTGCTCGTTTTAGAAATGAGGAAAGTGGAGTCCAGACAGGTTAAATAACTTGCTCAAAGCTCCACGGCAAAGCTGAAGGAGCAAAACTGGGACTGGAATCAGAACCCACCAGTGTGCTCTCGCACATGGCTCAAGGCTTGTCATTGAGTGGCTTCCAGACAGAGACTTTGGCTAGGAAGTGACTGGCTGGGCAGTTTAGGAGGCGGAGACTATGAGGAAAGGCAATTATCGGAAGAGAAGTGATGGAGTGGGCCCTACTCAGCCATAGAAATGAAGAGTTGACTCTAAAAAGAATTTCTAATCATTTTTAATTTTTTTTAATTAATAATTTTTAAAAATTGTGAACAGTCTTAGGCCAGTGTGGCAATTCTGCACTGCGGCCGCCCAGGATTCACGAAAAGCCATACCTCTCACAGGACTTCAGGGAGCTCCATTATTGGCTGCAGTTGTCACTTTGGCCCCACCTCTCACTAACTCATTAACTCACTGGAGTTTCTGCCCCGTGGGAAGAGACAGGCAGCCTCCAGGGAAAGGGAAGGTATGAAATCCACACGTGTTTGAGCAGGTTGGGACGCTGAGGCCTCTGAGCCTTTGACAGAAACTGGAGTTCACGAAATCACAAAACTCTTACTAGGGAACACGGGGCTGGAGACAAAACTGGTAGTAGGATTCAGTCCTCCTGACCTTGAGTCCTGTGCTCTTTTGATCAAATCGATGCCAACATAGGAAAATTCCGTGACTATAAGGATGTCAGCCTTGCAGAGAAAGAGAACAGAAAACAAGTCTTAATAAAATAACCTGGGGATTTGTAGACTGTGCCCCAAGGTACTAGTAATGGAAGCCTGAGCTTTCAGAGCCAGGTACTTGCAATTTTTAACTGTACCAAGAACTGGCAGGGCGACCTCTGAGCCTCAGTTGTTTTTGTTTGTTTGTTTATAAATATATTTTATTGATTTCAGAGAGGAAGGGAGAGGGAGAGAGATAGAAACATCCATGATGAGAGAGAATCGTGGATTGGCTGCCTCCTGCACTCCCTCACTGGTGATCGAGCCTGAAACCCAGGCATGTGCCCCAACAGGGAATCGAACCAGGGAGGGACCCTTCAGTCCGCAGGCTGACGCCATATCCACTGAGCCAAATCGGCCGGGGCCTGAGCCTCAGTTTCATCTCTGCAAAAGGGAGCTGATAAGCCATGCTCCAAGGATTAGATAAACTCAACCCTACAAACCAGGCAGTTCATGTCTTCTTAAGCATGACTAAATGAGTAGCCCTGACTGCTATTCACAAGCAAGTTTAAATGATATAAAATTTTCTATGCAGGTTGATTCTCCTCTTCCTGCTGGAAGATCACAGAGGAATGTGGCCTTGTCTGGAGGTGCAGCCACCTTCCTGGCTCTGGGGGCTGTGCGTTATTATTTAAGGTCCTGTCGGTAGCATGCTGTGCATCTGTGGTAGGTGAACAAGAATAGAGGTGAAGTCAACAGACATAAAACAGTGGCACCTTAACTTAAGAACTCTGCGGACTTTTTCAAGTAAGCTGTTTGCTGTACGTGGTGTTCCTAACAGGCAGGTAGTTTTGCAGTCTCTCTCTTTTGAAGTGGCTGTTTCAGGAACAAGCAGTAATAGACCTGTTTTAATAAGGCTGTAGCTCTTGGCAGTCCATGTGAAATAGTTTCCCCTCAAAAGTTTTCTTAAATTAACTCAGTTTTTTATACAATATAATGATATATGTATATATAACATTATAAATAACCATCTTATAATTTGGTATTTTCCCTCCTGAATTTGAAGATTTCTTTTTCCCCTTCTTAGGAAGGAGAGTTCAATGTTGACTTTAAAAACACCACACCCTGAACTAAAAACAGCAGTGGCATATATATGTTATTAAAAAAAAAAAAAAAAAAAAAAGCATAACCATAGACACCCAGTTATTTTTACCCTTAATGAATTTAGAAAACTCTTGGTTCATAGGTCAATGCTTAACCACTCAGCCACGCCAACCAGGCTTCATTACAAATTTAATTTCCAGTTCAAGATTGGCTTAAAAACAAAATTAATTCTTCTACCTCCCTAAAACCTCAACTTAAAAACACACAAACAAAAACAAACAAACAAACAACAACAAAAAACCTAGTGATGTGTTCTATTGGGTTTTAAATATAGAGGAGGAAATTTCTCTAATATTCACTTGTGAAGTCTCCAGAGACCTCAAGCTAGTAGTGGAAGTTTAATTAATTTTGATTACAAGTCAACAATAAAGTATTTATTTACAACAAATAGCTATAAATTTGGGGCTACAAACAAAAAATAATCAGACCCCTATAGTGCCCCCACCTCACTCGTGCTGGTAACTGAATTCTTCTTTATTTCTATTAAATTAATACATACACAATGTTTTTTAAATATCAAAAACCTTTAAAATACAAAATGGAAAATAGCATCTTCCTTCTGTACAACCTACCTTACAGTCCCCTCCTCAAAAGCAACCATTATCAATTATTTTTGCAGCTTTCCTTTCACATTTTTAAATAATATTCTTACACTGTATATTATTATTTCCTGACCTGTTGATTATATTCTGTATTATCTTTTTTTTTAATGATTGGGGGGGGGGGGGAGAGGAAGGGAGAGAAAGAGAGAAACATTGCTCTGTTGTTCCACTTATTTTTGCACTCATTGGAGGCCCAGTGCACGAAAATTTGTGCACTTGGGGGGTGGGGGGGATGTCCCTCAGCCCAGCCTTCACCCTCTGGAAATCCAGGAGCCCTCAGGGGATGTCCGACCATCGGCTTAGGCACTCCTGGCCTCCCTCTGCGGAAGACGACTGGGTGGGTCTCTCAGGGGATGGCACCAGCTGCTTACCATCGCCCTTCCCCTGTTGCCCCTTCGCCATTGGTTGCCCCCCCCCCCCCATTACCCTATTGCTTCTCCACCACTGATCGCTGCTGCCCGGTGATCACCATCCCCTCCCTCTGCCTGGCGTCCCCTGCTGGCCCCACCTCCTACCACCACCACCCCCACTGGTCATTCAGCAGTTCAGTCGATTTGCATATTATGCTTTTATTATATAGGATTAGTTGCTTCTTGTATGTGCCCTGACTAGGGCTCAAACCCACAACCTTGGCATATTGGGACAACACTCCAATCAACTGAGCTGCCCAGCCATGCATGGCCTATTGTGTATCATCTTTTATGTTGTGTTATATTAAGCTGAAAGCTTAACCTCTGAGCACTCCCATCTGCCCTCTTGCCAATCTATATCACAGTTTTCATAAAGGTAATAGTCAACATTTATGTAATTATTGCTAATAAAATTATTATACAATGAGAGCATTTCTTTCTTAACAACTTTTTATTTTTCAGGCCTATCCCCTTTTCCTGGAGAGTCAGTATATTCTAGTAGTTAGGGGTAAGGATTGAACTCAATCAGATCTTTGCTTTGCCACTTACACAATCTGTAATTTTGAGGCTGTGACTTCATCTCTCTCCCCTCTTCTATAAAATAAGGTTTTAATAAGTTATATACATATGAAAGCACTTCGGATAGCACCTAACATGCATTAACTATAATATTTGCGTGGTTAGCTGTGTACCCAATCTTGATTTTTCTTCATCTATCTGCCTATCATAATTCTTTCTCTCAGGTACTCAACCATGTCAGAGAATCCATCAATTCCACTTTCCCAAGAGCCCTCTTTGCCTCCCAAACTGCTGGATGGCACCAGGCTGCTGCTGCACCACGGCCACCCTGGGGCCCCCTTGCCACTCTGTTGGATGTCTGGCTTTCTGTGGCCTCTTCCTCTCTCTGCTCCCTAGCTTTGGTGAGCACAGCAGCAGTGTCCAGACTCCAGAGCGCCTGCTTTGAACCTTAACTTCCCTTGAAATGCCCAACTTCAGATAAAAAATATTCATCTCCCTTTTTAACACTAATCC